GCACCTTAACGAAAAAATATCTTGTTGCTAAAATCTACAGGAATGATCCTGAGCCTTTAGGAAGTCAACTCAAAACATGGAGGGTTTTGCCTCCATGTCATCAGGGTGGTGGTTGCTGGAGCCTGGGGTGGCTGTGGTAATTTCTTAAGACAACAACAGCCTGTGTTAGCAGGCATGAAAACAATGTGTTAATCTCCTTTTTGTCTCCATCAAGGCTCTAGGGTAACCAGGTGCATTGTCATTGAGCAGTAACATTTTGAGAGAAGTCTTTGTTTCTGAGCAGTAGGTCTCAACAGTGGGCTTCAGGAAACCATACTGTAAACAGATGTGCTGTCATCCAGGCTTTGTGGTTCCTTTTATAAAGCACAGGCAGAGTAGATGTAGCATAACTTTTTTTATTGAGACAGAATCTCGTGTCACCCATGCTTGAGTGCAGTGGCATGATCTCGGCTCACTGCAACCTCCGCCCCTAGGTTCAAGTGATTCCCCTGCCTCCGCCTCCTGAGTAGCTGGGATTAATGGGCGCCTGCCACCTCACCCAGCTAATTTTTGTATATTTAGTAGAGACAGGGTTTCACCATGTTGGCCAGGCTGATCTCGAACTCCTGACCTTAAGTGATCCATCCATCCACCTCAGCCTGCCAGTGCTGGGATTACAGGCATGAGCCACTGCATCTGGCCAGATTTAGCATAATTCTTAAGAACCCTAGGATTTTTGGAATGATACATGAGCACTGGCTTCACCAGCTGCCTAATAGTGACTTCAACTTCAAGTCACTCGTCCCTAATAAGCTCATCCTTTGAAGCTCCGACTTCCAGGCATTGACTTCTCCTCTCCAGCCATGAAAGTCCTACATGGCATCTTCTGCTAACAGCAGGCTGTTTCATATACATTGAAAATCTGTTGTTTGGTGCAGCCACCGTCACCAGTGGTCTTAGCTAGATCTTGCAGTCTACATTAGCACTTGTGGCTTCACCTTGTACTTGTGTTATGGAGATGGTGTCTTTTCTTAAATCTCATCAACCAACCTCTGCTGGCTTGGTTTCAAACCTTTCTTCGGCAACTTCCTCACCTCTCTTAACCTTCACAGAATTGAAGTTCGGGCCTTCCTCTGGGTTAGCCTTTGGCTTACGAGAGTGCTGTGGCTGGCTTCATCTTCTATCCAGACCACTTAAACTTTCTCCCTCTTAGCAGTAAGGCTGTTTCTCTTTCCTATCATCTGTGTGTTCAATGGAGTAACACTTTTATCTATTAATGTATTTTGAGATAGGGTCTCACAACGTTGACCTCCCAGGCTCAGGTGATCCTCCCACCTCAGCTTCCTGACTAGCTGGGACACTACAGGCACTCCACTATGCCTGGCTAATTTTTGTAGGCAGAGTTTTGCCATGTTTCCCAAGCTGGTCTTGAATTCCTGGGCTCAAGTGATCCACCCACCTCAGCATCTCAAAGTGCTGGGATTATAGGCATGAGCCACCATGCCCAGCTAGCACTTTTAATTTCCTCAAAACTCTTCCTTTGCATTCCCAAGTTGGCTGTTTAGTGCAAGAGGCCTACCTTTCAGCCTGTTCTGGTTTTGACCTGCCTTCCTCAAGAAGCTTAATCATTTCTAGAGAGACAGGCAACTCTTCTTTGCATCTGAGCACTTAGGGGCTATTGTAGGGTTATTACGTGGCCTAATTTCAATACTCTTGTGTCTCCAGGAAGAGGAAAACCCGAGGAAAAGGGAAGAAATGGGGAACACCTGGTCAGTGGGGCAGTCAGAACACACACACCATCTATTAAGTCTGAAGTCTTATATAGGCATAGTTTGCGGCGCCCCAAAAATAAGAATAGTAACAAAGATCACGAGTCACAGATCACAGATATAGTAATGAAAAAAATTCAAAATAATGTGAGAATTACCAAAATGTGACACAGAGACACGAAATAAGCACAGGTTGATGGAAAAATGGTGCCAACAGACTTGCCTGAAGCAGGGTTGCCACAAACCTTGAATGTATTAAAAGATGCAGTAAAATGAGGTGAGCCTGTGCTCACACACCTGGCCTGTTAAGTCTCCTGACTCGGTAACATGAAAGGCAAAAATGGGGGCTACAAATGGCCAGGCTTTTTTCTTCATGTTATCTACTTTAATCTTCCTAATTTAGAGTTATCTTGATATTTATTTTTGGAGATTAAGAAAATATGGTTAACTGCTTTGTTTAAAGTCACACAGCTACTACGTGATAAAAACAGGACTCCAGGCGGGGCGCAGTGGCTCACCCCTGTAATCCTAGCACTTTGGGAGGCAAGGCAGGCAGATCACAAGGTCAAGAGATTGAGACCATCCTGGCCAACACAGTGAAACCATGTCTCTACTAAAAATAAAACAAAACAAAACAAAATTAGCTGGACATGGAGGCACATGCCTGTAGTTTCAGCTACTTGGAATCTGAGGCAGGAGAATCGCTTGAACCTGGGAGGCAAAGGTTGCAGTGAGCCAAGATCACGCCACTGTGCCTGGCAAAAGGGCACTACTCCATTTCAAAAAAAAAAGCACTCAACTGTATTGTTCCCAAGTATCTGCCCTTTCCACTAAAACTCTGAACTGTCCACTGGTCACACTCAGCATCAACCAGAACATTAAGTAGCATTAAATAGGAAAGGCCCCAAAGACCCCATTTTTCTCATTATTTGTAAGGATAAGGTCTTTAGCTCTCAATAACTGATTATTTATTCAAGCAGCAAGAGTTATAAAAGACATCGATCTTTAGTGTCTCTGTTCTTCACACAGAAACTTTAACAGCAGTCTTTCCATGAGAATTGGCTTTCAGTTTAGAAAAATCTAGTAATTAAAAATCCAAACAATTAGTGGAACAGTAAGACTTTCCCATCTCTTTTTGGCCACTGCACACTCCAATAAGCCCAACAACAAAAAAGAAACATTAACTCAAGAGGAGTGTATCTTACTCCAGTTCCCCCTAATGAAGTTCAGTAGTTAGTTTCACCCCAATAAACAATGACTACAGAAAGAAAGAAACAACCAAAAATTATTTTTTCAACCACATTTACTAGCTCACATAAATATTTAAAAACAAATCCATCTGTCTTCCCTTTCTGTTTCCTTGGCACAATTTATCACAGTTCTTAACAAACTACCATAAATATCTGTAAGGGGAAAATGAATTTCAGAATAGGAAAGAGAGGTTAATAAATAGCCAAATATGTCAACCACTGAAAGGACCACCTGTTTTTGTTTTAAGATTAAGCCCCTGATTTGCAAATTTTATTGAAATAAATTTCATCTAATAAAAACAAGGTTAATTTAAAACTTGATCTCAACTTGAATAGCAGTTGAATTGTGACATAAAAATTGCTAAACTTCAACTAAAGAACAAATAAAACATTCAGACACAAGTTTACACTTTAAAAATTCTATCAACTTCAACAAATAATGAATGACTGTATATTAATTTACATTAGTCCTGTGGTCCAGAATACGTTTTCCATTTAAAACATTTTTAATAGATCTTCTGTATGGCATGGACAGCTTCTAGTGGGAATTAGTATATAGTCTGTTCTTGATGAAGACAACACTAGACAGATGTTGCCTGATGCCTGGATAATGCTGAATGTGACAAAACCAGCGAGACACATTAAGATATTTCTCCTTTTCTTGAACTGTCAGGTCAACCTAAGTAGAGATTAAAAACACACACACACAACACAGATGTTACAAAAGCACAACTATTAATATCACTTAAGGAGATATAAGTTGAAAAACAACAACATTCCCCAAGAGTTCTCAAAAGCCAACATATTCAGATGGGAGTCAAAGTTTCAGCCACTTGTAAAAGTTATCCATGTTTAATGTTCAGTCAAAACCAGATGTGCTTCCTGCGAAACATCAAGCTTTAACAAATGTAAAATTTACATTGAGGATTTGGAGGTCAAATAAGTTGTTTTTTACTTTACTGGAAAAAGATTAAGATACAGTTCTTTTTCTGGTATGTTTTAGTAAACCTAAAAAAAGGAAATGATCCATTTCAAGTGACTATTGCTTAATATAAGGAGAGGCTATTTCTAGTGGTGTATGACTCAGATGAAGGAGGCTAAGTAAATGCATGACAACAGATCTTCATAATTCTGTTTGCAATAAAGTTCAACCCAGTCTTTTAGTGGATGTAGCAGTTTACCCAATTTGCTATCAACCTCCAAGAATGCTCAGAGATTTGGTTAGAGAGAGATGTATCACAAACTGCAGGTGCTTATCATTTCACTGGGCTCAAATTCCAAAGTAGGTGACAAAGACTTTCCTCTAAGATACATTTGGGGATTACTGAGAGTTATCAGGTAAAGAGACACCAGTACAGCAGTAACTTGCAGACATGACCCCCTTTATGGGTAGTGTAGTTCCTTCTCATAAGTCACATTTACTTAACAGATAGTGCAAGTCTCTTTAACACTGACAGGAGTGTTTGCAGAAAGAAATAACTCAGTCACCCCACAAGTGGTAGAAACCCACCAGCGGCCTGCTTGTTGGGAAACACTTTTAGTGAAATGAGTATCCTTTGCTTTCAGAATTTAGAGCATAGTTGTTCTGCAGGCAAACATTCTGCTAAGTTACCAGATCACCAAAGGTGAAGGACAAATCACTCTATATGCAATAATTATTAGAGAATACAAAAGAATATTAACAATAAAATTAAAAAGCAGGCAGTATTTTCTCAATAAATGTTTATTTGGACTCATATTTGTTGGCTCAGTTTATTTAAGTTGTTAGGGAGAATCGTCATTGCTTCTTCATTAAAATTTAAGTTTCAGGTTTTAGGGATACACACTTCAGTCTTACATGCAAGCTGCACTAGCAAATTATAAAAACACATTCATCTGGTTTCAGGTGTGTAAGGTTGTGTCTACTTAGAAAGATGTTACTATTACTATCACTGTCTCATCTACAACACAGTCAGTTCATGGAATAGAGATAAATAACACAGTCAAGAAAACTGGTCAAGAATGTCTTAATGTAAAAGTTTAATTTTTATTATGAAGATTCATGGTTTCCCATGTAAATAATTACATTAGGCTAACTGGTAGATTCAAACTGAAAGGAGCATCCACCTGTCTGGTGTGTTTTCATAGGCAGCACTTAATCATTTGTGGAATAAATTGAGAATCAGTCTATATTTCAAAAGTATTTTATAAAAGAGCATTTGCTCTTTTTCTATATCTCTACCATATGTAAACTTCACCAAGGACTTCAAAAGAAAATGTATGATTTATTAGAAGCTCAACCAGTAATAAACACAGCTGCAAATCTAACCAGAAATGGGAGTTTTCTTACCAAAAATGAATAAATGAATAAAATTCAAAATCAACTTCAACAAACCTCTTTGCTAACAGTTAAAGCAAACAGATGTAACAATAAGTTTTACTCCAACTTGATTTCGTGTCAGCTGCTGAAATATATGATGATTCAAATCTGACTTACTTCTTACAATTTTAGTCCTTTCATAGCTCTTTCATTTTAGATAATTCTCCACTTAGCCATTTGGTAAAGCATTTCCAAACAGTAGAGTTTTAATGCTTATTTATGTTTAAGTGGTTCACCCAAATTTTAAACTAGGTAAAAAGGGCAATGTTATGTGTGATATTTATACTTCAGAACAGCACTTGCTGTCACAGAGGACTACTGTATGCTGCTCACAGGCCTATTATTTAAAACAACAACAACAACATACAGAACACAGCAAAATAAATATTCTCCAACTTAAACATTTTACATTTGGAGTCTCCGGTGTCAAGATCATCAAAAGACCCACAGTACAAAATAGTTTTTATTCCAAGAGCTCCTAAAGCTTCTTGCATTTCCAAATTTATTCCTAATTATTTCCTAATTTACCATTTCTTGGGTTCAAGTGAGTCTCCTGCCTCAGCCTCCTGAGTAGCTGGGACAATAGGCACTATAGTACTATAACCATGATGTCCGGCTAATTTTTTGTATTTTTAGTAGAGACAGGGTTTTACCGAGTTAGCCAGGATGGTCTGGAATTCCTGGCTTCAAATGATCCACCTGCCTCAGCTTCCCAAAGTGCTGGGATTACAGGAGTGAGCCACCATGCCCAGCCCCCTATTCCAATAATTTTTAACTAGATGATCCATTTTACAGTATTTTTAGATTATCTATTTTAGAGAATGTACAGTTATTCATTTTCCCTCAGGAAACTTTTGCCAGAAACACACAGAGCTTTTAAAAAAAGGATGAGGTTACCACTTTCACTTCTTTTTACAGTTTAAACTTTGGAACTTGTTGCTTAGAGCCTGAGATAATTATGAATGGCCTTGATTTGTTAACTCTCCTACTTTTTTGGCAGACATTCCCTATATAAACTTACTGTAAACAAAGAAATGAACCGATTTCTTCTGTCACCAAATGTACAGATTTTTAAAAACATTTCTGATGGAATTCCCTGGACTATTTCACTTACAACACTGGTTTTCCACCATCCCTTTCTAGCTAAAGTTCTTTTTCCTTTCTTACAACAGGAAACAATGACATTGTTCTAGCTGCCACTTCCTGCTTCATGATGGTCTGCATGCCAGTGTGTCTATAGTGGTGCTTGGCTCTTTCTACCTAATAATTCCTTTTAATTCCTATTGGCACTCTATCATGACTTTGAACTTTGAAGCCAAGCAGATAATATTCTGAATCACGAATTTTCCATGAAATCATGTGAAAAACACTTTAAGTGACCTGTTCCAGATCAGGGTGACACGCTTCTTTGCTACATTTCCAACTGGCACCACGCTGCCACCTTTGGGACATTGTTTAGGGCCAGTGTGCCTGGACTATTTTGCAGCTATTTCTTTTATTTTTCCTTTCCTTATAAAAGAACCACATACATCCAATGGTGCTCCAAGCTTCAGAACAAAAGTATTTCAGTTGATAACAATCTTACAGTCAAGCAGCACATAATATTACAAAGGAGTTTAATAATCTTGAGTAACAGTCTGTTCACAGGGATGACTTATCTACCAGTGAAATCACTTTAAGAAAGCAGTGAGTCACTGGTGTTACAATAAACAGCCACACTAACAGGCAGTATAACAAAGGAAGGGCAACATAATATTCCTCAAAGGGAGTTAAGATAGATCAGATCTTAGAATAACTCAGCCATGACTAAAATTGGGCTCACAATGAAGCAAAATACAGTGGGATTATCTGATGACTCGAAGGTTCCTTGACTGCTATTTTGTACACTGTGCTGATTACACATTCCGTATTGAATAATGTGAACAAACACATGAAGGAATGCATGAGGGCAAAAACAAATAATACTGCCAAAGCAAACAAAGCACAAGGACTTGGTCAGTATCAGCAGGTGGCCGATCTAGACCTCACACCCAGCCTACTTTAATTTAATACCTAGAAATCATTTATTCCACATCTGTGTTTATTTGTACCCAACTTAACAGGGATGTCATTTAACACCACAGTGCAATTCTGCCATTCTGTGAGGCCTGTTCCTTGAGAAGGTGTTTATTTCTCTGCTTACTTTGCCTGCACTTGGACTATAGAGTGGGAAAGATACTTTGACTCATGATAGAAACCCAAAGGGATAGTCAACAGTGATTTACAGATCAGTCTATTAAATTTCACTTTGAAAAAGACAATAATAATATTTTTAATCATAACATCCTAGTCACTATATATAAAGAGGACATATATTCCAAAATAGAAAATGTAAATACATATTGAATGCTCAATATTGTTAATGTAACCCTAACTTTAACATGAAGAACTGAATGCAACACTTCTAACCTGCCTAAAAACCAAGTGCCCTGTAGGGCACTTAGACTCATAATTCAATAACTTTGCAGCTAGTCCTATGAGTATTTTGCATTATAGGATTATGACCTTGTCCATTCTGCTGGCAAAGGAATTCCAAACAAGTTCCCTCCTTTTCAGAGTATTTCCTTTTCCTACTGCATACCCTGCATAAGCTAGAGGAAAGGAAAATGTAATTACACACTTGGTTTATGAGTTACACTTCAGTATCACCTTTTTTTTTTTTTTATTAGATGGAGAAATACTCTCCTTCTTAATGACAGCTCGATGCTACAGCAAGCCAGATCTTGTGGGTCTGAACAGACATTCACTAGCTTGCTGACTGTCATCACAGAGGATGACTGATGACTTTTTTCCTAATATAAAGCTTAAAAAGTTAAATGTCAAAACATATGTCACATTTAAATCTATATATATTTAAAAGCCAACAAGTTTGTTACTGTGGTTTTCAGATATAAATTATTCTTGGGGCCCTGTCAGGTAGTCATGCTTACATAGCATAGTCTCACTAAAATCAAGTACGGACTCCCCCAAGTTCAAAGACTATGTAGGTTTGCCATCAGGAGAGAGATGCTTAGCTGCCTTAGCAGCAAATCCTCTTTACCTTGCAGGCTTTTTCATTTGGAAATGAGGTAAGTTGTGCCTCATCATCATTTTAAATTCAAAAAGCTACTAAAATACATTGATCCTAGAATGAAATAAAAAAAGGCTGGTAATCAATGTATTTCAGCTCCAATAAACTTTCTTCACATTTAAATAAAATTAATTATGTTACACTTTTACTACAAAGATAAACAATCTGAAATAGGAACTATAAATAGGTTACAAGTTGTTAAACATTGCCTTTATTAAGTTAATTTGTTTCTTTAAGACAGGGTCTCACTCTGTTGCCCAGGCTGGAAGGCAGTGGTACAATCATGACTCACTGTGGCCTCGACCTCCCTGGGCTCAGGTGATCCTCCCACCTCATTCCCCCAAGTAGCTGAAACTACAGGCACACAGCTACCATGCCTGGTTAATTTTTTTTTTTTTTTTAATAGAGATGGGTTTTGCCCTTTTGCCCAGGCTGGTCTTTTGAACTCTTTGGCTCAAGCTACCCACCTGCCTCAGCCTCCTAAAGTGCTGGGATTACAGGGATGAGCCATCATGCCCAGCCTTAAATATTGCTAATCTCAATAAGCATTTAACTGCACAAGGCAGTGTGCTAAAAGCCAAGAAGAAATGAACAGGAATAAGAAAATCCTCTCTGGTCGCTGATTATGTGTAAATTGAGTCATATTCTTTGTAAGTATGGGGAACATTCATTTGACCTCACTCCTGTTGTCCCATTATAATTTTTAATAGGCCTCCTTTCACAGTCAAGTGTTTTGGATGAGAAATCATGCAGTCACCCTACTTACAAAGAATATTTGTGATTAAATTTATCATAAGCTTTCCAAAACAATGAAAATTCCCTTAGATAGCCAAGGACATCCAAATCTTCAGCTATTTTTCAAGCAATTTTATGATTCTATATTCTACTTGTCTGCCTCATTCATCAATAACATAATATTCTGACCAGAGATTGGCACTGATTCCATTTTCTCTACTTCATTAATAGCTTTCATGTAAAACAGTCTTTCTTCAATAAGATTAATATGCCCCTAGGGCTGGGCGCAGTGGCTCAAGCCTGTAATCCCAGCACTTTGGGAGGCCGAGGCGGGTGGATCACAAGGTCAAGAGTTCGAGACCATCTGGATCGACATGGTGAAACCCCGTCTCTACTAAAAATACAAAAAATTAGCTGGGCGTGGTGGCGCATGCCTGTAATCCCAGTTACTCAGGAGGCTGAGGCAGGAGAATTGCCTGAATCCAGGAGGCGGAGGTTGCGATGAGCCGAGATCGCGCCATTGCACTCCAGCCTGGGTAACGAGCGAAACTCCGTCTCAAAAAAAAAAAAAAAAAATTAATATGCCCCTGAAAATAGTTTTATTCTTCTGTTGTCTCCCTCTCAAGTATAGTACAGTGGGCATACACAGTGGGCTCACAGTAAATCATTTAAAACTCATAGTTTTACACTAAATTAAGGATCATTCTAAGCCATTACAATAATGTTACAGAATTTAACATAATCACTGAGGGATCTTTGAGGAATAAATCATAATAAAGTCAAGCAAATTCAAACTGAGGGACTATAGCTTGAGTAGGGGACTAGTAACCGAATCATGCATCATTACAGTATGCTTGGAGGGTGAGGGAGAAATAAAAGGAATCCACTTCTAATGCTGTCATGAAGCCCAGGAGTTCTGGAGGGAAGGAACTGTGTTGCATTCTGAATTTTCTGGTTACAATCCCTGTCTTCTCTCTTCAACCTCAACTGAAAACCCAGACTCATGAGGCCTTAATCTGTGCCCTCTTATTCCTGGCAAATGGCAAAGCCAACTATGTAGGAGGCTTTTTCAGAGGAGAAAACGACTTTGTTTTTCCAAAAGACAAACCCTCCACTTTGCTTTATGAGGCAGATAGCAGCCCCAAACCATGGACAGGTTGGGGCTTGCGCAGGCCTCAATTATTATGGTATTTTACAGTGTATAATACAAAGAGTTTCCCCATACATTAAGACACTTCAGTCAGATCTAGTTTGTCATGGCCCTTCCAAAAACTGAGTTCTGTGCCTTTAAACCACTCAAGCTTCCTAAGCATTAGTTTCCTTCTCTGTAAAAGGAGCCTAAAAACACTGGTCCTGCTTCCTTCTTAGTGACGAGGTACAATGAGAAAATATATAGGAAACTCCTTGAAAAGCACAGAGAAATACATTTAAAAATGTACTCAGTGTTTATGGAGGGGTGACTATATACACATGCCAGGGATTACCTCTGACAATGGTGTTACAAATATGTGTTGCTGCAATCACTGATTCAAGCAGCTTATAATTTAGAGAGAGAGATTTTCAAAGAATTAAAGTAAGAGTGAAATAAGCTAGACCAAAGGAATATATGAGGTACAAACACACATACAGAGGAAGGAGGACCTCAATATGGTTTAGGGGTCTGAGAGGGATTCAACTGAGGAACGAGTGGGAATTGAGCAACACCTGGGAAATGCAAATGAAGTAGGCAGGAAGGGAAGGGCTGGGACCAGGGAACAAAAGAGAAGAGCAATGCCAGGACACTGGGTATAAAGAGCCCAGCATCCAGCAGGCTCTGGGATATATGTTGTGGCTGAGACACTGACAGCAAGGAGGATAGCAAGGCAGGCAGAAATCAGTCGAATTGAGAGTTTCGCTCTTGTAGCCCAGGCTGGAGTACAGTGGTGGGATCTCTGCTCACTGCAACCTCCGCCTCCTGGGTTCAAGCAATTCTCCTGCCTCAGCCTCCAGAGTAGCTGGGATTATAGGTGCCTACCCCACCACCACACCTGGCTAATTTTTGTACTTTTAGCAGAGAGGGGGTTTCATTATGTTGACCAGGCTGGTCCCAAACTCCTGACCTCAGGTGATCTACCCGCCTTGGCCTCCCAAAGTCCTGGGATTACAGGTGTGAGCCACTACACCTGGCTAATTTTTGTATTATTAGTAGAGGCAGGGTTTTGCCATGTTGGCCAGGCTGATCTGAAACTCATGATCTCAGGTGATCCGCCTGCCTTGACCTCCCAAAGTGCTGGGATTATGGGCATAAGCCACCGTGACTGGCTGAGTTAATTATTTTGAGAAAGAAAAAGACACAATCATGAGAAAGACTGCTCCAGTGGCCACCAATCTCATCTCTTATAGTCAATCCTCTTTAGGTGAACAAAAATTCTATATACTGTAACTTGGACAAGTCGTCAAGATCACAGGAAAAGATACATGTGAGAGGCATTCAGGAGCTGGAAATCAGGATCTGACTGACTGGATGCATGAGGTGCACAATGCACAAAAATGCATGAGGTCTTTTTTTTCCACAGGGAGAAGATAGGTATCGGGGCGATGGGGAGTTGAGCCAAGCTTTTAGGAGGAGAGATGGTGTAAGAAAGCACACATTCTGGGGCCAAAGTGTCTGATTTCTGGACCCTGTTCCTACCAGATACTTGGGCAATCTCAAAGAAAACATTTGACCTCTCTATGCCTCAGTTATCTCATCTGTAAAATGGGGCTGATAATATTAGTGCCTATACTATACGGCTGTTATTAGGATTAAACGAGTCAACATTTATACAACATAAAGAACAATGCCAAGAACATAGCGAATATCATGTCATTGTTCATGAACAAATTTAAAATAAAGAGACTGACTACATAGGTAGTGGGCAAGACTGAAGAAAAAAGAAAGAAAATATGATCTGGAGCAATAGCCAGAAACGGAGCAGGAAGTGGAGAGGAGACTGGGTGTAAGAGGCCAGATGAATGGGGATATGGTTTGGCTGTGCACCCACCCAAACCTCATCTTAAATTTAATTCCCACAGTCCTCACAAGTCATGGGAGAACCTGGTGGGAGCTAAGTGAGTAATGGGGGCAGGTCTTCCCTGTGCTTTTCTTGTGATAGTCTCATGAGATCTGATGGTTTTCTAAGTGGAACTTCCCCTGCACAAGCCCTCTCTTTGACTGCAGCCACCCATATAAGACGTGACTTGCTCTTCCTTGCCTTCCACCATGATTGTGAGGCTTCCCCAGCCATGTGGAACTGTAAGTCCGTTAAAACCCTTTTTCCTGTATAAGTTACCCAGTCTTGGGTTATGTCTTGATCAGCAGTCTGAAAATGAACTAATACAAATGGATTGGTCTAAGAAAAAGGCAAGGCTGAGACCAGGAAAAGGAGACAAGATGGACAAGGATGCACAATCAGGTAGGCTGGAAGATGAAGGGATTCAAATGAACAGCCTCCACTTTTCTAGCTGAATGATGGAGGAAGGCTCAGTGATAAGAACTGAAGATAAAGGAGGAGGGAGAGGGTTGGGGCTTAAGGAAGGTGGTAAAGGTCTGGAAATATCCCTGGGAGAAAAAAAAAAAAAAAAGCTGATCCAGTATGAGAGCCCAGCTGCAACTGGATAGTAAACATTTTTAGTGGCAATAATCTACAGTGTTGTGATTTCTCCAGTAGACCTCAGCTTGGATCTTGCATCTAAGAATGAAGACATTTATTTGGGCTTGCCAAGAGCCAGCAACTTACAGGGAAAAGGTGGTGGCTGTAGGGTAAAGCAAAGGAGCTGAAGATACTAAGAGGATGTAGCTGGAGTTACACAAAAGGGCGTCTAGGTTAGGTGAGGAAGGAAGCATACAGATTTGGAAAAGAGGAGTCAAATTACATTAGATAGAAATTAGACACTAAGAGATTAAAAAAGCTAAGGGTGTATTTGTCAGGGTTCTCTAGAGAGACAGAATTAATGGAATATATATATGGAATGTATATATATATGGAATATATACATAAAGGGGAGTTTATTAAGTATTAACTCACACGATCACGAGGTCCCACAACAGGCCGTCTGCAGGCTGAGAAGCAAGGAGAGCCAGTCCAAGTTCCAAAATTGAAGAACTTGGAGTCTGATGTTCGAGGGGAGGAAGCATCCAGCATGGGAGAAAGATGTAGGCTGGGAGGCTAAGCTACTCTAACCTGTTCATGTTTTTCGGCCTGCTTTATATTTGCTGGCAGCTGATTAGATGGTGACCATTCAGATTAAGAATGGGTGGCCTTCCCCAGCCCACTGATTCAAATGTAAATCTCCCTTGGCAACACCCTCACAGATACACACAGGATTACTACTTTGCATCTTCAATACAATCAAGTTGACACTCAGTATTAACCATCACAAGTGGTTAATTTAAGATCCAGAGGTGGAATGGTAGGAATATGGGGCCCAGGGAATGATGACAAAGTCTAAAGTGTGGTTGGAGAAGTCACTGCTGAAGAGGAGCAGAAGCAGAGGAATAAAATCAAGATCAAGGAAAACGAAGCAATTATATTAACTGGACATGTCACAGGAGTTTTATGTAGGCACCTTGTATAAAGTAATTCCTTTCATTTTTATTTGATAAGCTGAAAATGCAAATCTGATTTAAATTCGAGACAAATTTTAAAAAATCATTCCGAACACTACAGAAAAAACACCAGTAACTATTCAAATACTCACTATAAAGCGATGAAGTCCATAGTACAATAGGATATCTGCTAACGTAAAGTTATATCCTGTAAGGTAGACTTTATCTTCAAGATATGAATTGAGATCCTAGAAAAAAGAAAAAACAGATACGTATTAATGTAAAAATCAGTAATAATAAAGTTAACTATCATACCATGACTTAAAACATTTAGAAGGCTACTAGAAAAACAAAATATTCCCATTAAACAAATTTGCTCTTTGATATTAATATTCATTCAAAATCACAAATCATATGCCAGTTACCTCATTTTAACAAAAACAGGCTAAACATCACTAGTCTTACAGAAACAAGAAAACATTTGAAAATGACATTCAAAGTGCCATCTATGATCATTTTAAAGTCTAACTTCTTGTTTTTGGAAACATTTTGTTACTCATGCTCATTAGTTACACTTCTTTTATCCATTAAAATAAAAAAAATTCCCCAACAATTTCAATCTCTTTAGAGAATTCTAAGTAACTCTATATCCATTGAAACAATAATTTGCCCATTTTCCCTTCCCTCTAGGTCCTGGCAACCACCATTCTACCTTGTATCAATGAATGTGACTACTTTAGATACCTCATATAAGCGCAATCATAGAATGTCTGTACTTCTGTGACTGGCTTGTTGTATAAAGTTCCACCATGTAGCATGTAGGACCTTTCAGAATTTCCTTCCCTTTTAAGGCTGCATAATATTCTACTGTATGTATAGATCACAGTTTCTTTATCCATTCCTTTGTCAATAGACATGACTGTTTCCACCTCTTGGCTACTGTGAGTAATGCTGCTGTAACAGAGCATACAAACATCTCTTCGAAACCATGCTTTGAATTCTTTTGGGTATATACCTACAAGTAAAAATTCCTGAACCATATGGTGATTCTACTAATTTCTTGAGGAAGTGCTATTCTGTTTTTCATAGCAGTTGCACATTTTACATTAGCACCAACAATGCACAAGGGTTACAATTTCTTTACATCCTCACCAACACGTTACTCTGTGGGACTTTTCTGGTAGCAGTCATCTTAATGGGTGTGAAATATCTCATTTTAAATGTGATCTACATTTCCTTCAAGATTAGTGATTCCAGCATCTTTTCATATGCTTGCTGGCCACTGGAATATCTTGTTTGGCGAAATGTATACTAAAGTCCTTTGCCACTTTTTAAGTCAGGATATTGAGTTTTTGCTGCTGAGTTGTGGGAGTTCTTTACATAGTCTGAATATTAACTCTTATCAGATATATGATTTATAAATATTTTCTCCCACTCTGTGGGCTGCCTTTTCACTCTGTTGTCTCCTTTGTGTTCAGAAATTTTTAATTTTGAAGTAGCCCAATTTATCTATTTTTACTTTTGAATTATAGTCAATTAAGTGAAACAACAGATTCATAAAACCTTTAGAGGAAGGTTTTGTAAATAAGTTATATGAACTATTAGTAGGTATTCTTTGAAGCTCCTCTAAAGACTAGATATAAAACACTGTCCAGTGAGCAACAGCATTTATTCTAGAAGAATTCTTTAAACTATAGAAAGGGCATTTTTGTTCTGATTCTCAAATCACATCTGTCTTAGTCCACTTGGTCAACTATAATCAAATATATAGACTGGGTGGCTTGTAAACAAAAGAAATTTATTCCTCACAGTTCTGGAGGCTGGAAGTCTAATATGAACGTGATGGCAGATTCAGCGTCTAGTAAAGGCTTGCTTCCCGGTTCACAGGCAGCTGTCTTTTCACTTGGTGGAAGGGGTGAGGTCTCTCTCAGGCTTTTTATTAGGGCACTAATTACATTAATGATAGCTCTGCCTCCAGGACCTAATCACCCCTAAAGACCCCATCTCCTAACTCCATCACTTTGGGGGTTAGAATTTTAACATATAAATTTGGCAGCAGGGAGAGAAACATTCAAACCATAGCAACATCCCAAAGTGTCTGGAATATAGCAGTTCGGCAATCAATAAAAAAATCTTTGTGAAATATAGTGGTTTAGCAATCAATAAAAAATTTTTGCGGGAATGAATTTAACCTCTGAGTTTGCACACAAAGTTAACATGATACATGCTGAACATGAAGATAATGAGGATGAAGACCTTTATGATGATCCACTTCCACTTAATGAAGAGTGAACACATTTTCTCTTATGATTTTCATTTAAAGACAGTCATTTTCAAAAACATAAATGAATATGGGCCCTTATAGGTGGAACAGATGAGAACATAAAGGAATACAGACACAAATGAGGAGACACGTGTGAAAGAATAGAAATAAAATTTGGGTGGAAAGGGTAGAATATATTGGTATATTAGGGACTACCACTTAAATTTTATGGTAATCTGTTGAATGGATACTGTTTCTCTCCAAATATCTTCAGAGAAATCAACTTTGGGAAAGAATAAGAAATAAAATATCTTCATTAAATTTCAAATAAAATAAATACATCTTCATTTAATTTCAAGAAGTATTTAAAGACCTGAAACAATAACAGTTTTGTGTATTTTCTCCAAAAACAGAATCTATATACATGTTTTACTGATAAAGACTCTTAAAAATATAGTTTTTACAAACTATGATTAGGTAATATTTTCTGGGTTCAAGATATAAATAAAATTTTTCCCACCAAAAGATAGAATTTCACACATTCAAAATATTCACAGGTGAGAACTAATTATGTCTGACGTTCATTTCCTTTTTTTTACAACTCTCTCTGATGCCATTGTCAAACTTGTTAAAATATTTCCCCACACAATTCCACCTGATTTTTCTTTTTTCTCCCATCTATTAAACTTTCTAACAAGATAAAAAAGTTGAAAAAGCAGTAAAATAAACAACTATATATCCTCCATCTAGACTCAACAAATGTTAGTGCTTTGCAATGCCTGCTTTTTGAAATTATAAACTACCTTATTTGAGGCATTTAAATTTAGTATTGTGGTTTTAGCACTGAAATGCAACTTTGACAAATAAGAATTAAACCCTTTCATGATATCCTAGGAACAACAGCTTTAAAATTAAGTAATAAAAAGCTATACAGCTCAGTATAAACACAAAGAATACATGTAAATAAATTTTAAAAAATAATAAAATGGCTAATAAGCATGATGAAAATGACACATTAATAATTTTATGAAAAAAAATAAGTCCTTTTTTTTTTTGAGATAGAGTCTCGCTCTGTTGCCCAGGCTGGAGTGCAGTAGCGTGACCTTGGCTCACTGCAACCTCGGCCTTCTGGGTTCAAGCAATCAGTTCCTGAATAGCTGGGACTACAGGCATGTGCCATCACGCCCAGCTAATTTTTCTATTTTCAGTAGAGACGAAGTTTCACCATGTTGGCCAGGCTGGTCTTTAACTCCTAACCTCAAGTAATCTGCCCACCTCAGCCTCCCAAAGTGCTGGGATTTCAGGTGTGGGCCACCATGCCTGGTCTCAAGCAAATAATTTTTACATTTTTTTGTTTTGATAATTAAACTGGGGTAGTGAAGGAGAAAGAGGTAGTACCAGGTTAGTTTTGTGGAAGAGGCCACTCTCATATGCTACAATACTGTAATAATGTGCTTTTCTAGAGGGCAAATAAGCAACATAGCTTTAAGAATATATAGCTTTTAGCCTAGCAGTTTCTCTTGTAGGAATTTAGCCTCACTCCTGTAATCCCAACACTTTGGGAGGCGGAGGCGGGCAGATCACTTGAGGTCAGGAGTTTGAGACCAGCTTGGTCAACATGGTGAAACCTCGTCTCTACTAAAAATACAAAAGAAAAAAAAAAAATTAGATGAGCATGGTGGCATACACCTGTAATCCCAGCTACTTGGGATGCTGAGATAGGAGAATCACTTGAACCTGGGAGGCAGAGGTTGCAGCCTCAATGACAGAGCAAGATTCTGTCTCCAAAAAAAAAAAAAATAGCCTAAGGAAACAAATGGGAATGTGCCCCAATATTTAGCAACAGTCTAGTAACTACGTAAGGATAGATGACTAAAATTATGGTACGATTACAGTTAACCCTTGAACAACACAGGTTGGAACTGCACAAGTCCATTTAAAACACAAATTTTCTTCTGCCTCTGCCACCCAAGATAGTAAGATAAACCCTTGCTCTTCTTCCTCCTCCTCAGCCTACTCAATGTGAAGTGAAGACTATAAGGACAAAGACCTATATGACAATCCACTTCCAGTTAATGAATAGTAAATGTATTCTCTCTTCCTGATGATTTTCTTCTTCATATTCTTTTCTCTAAGCTTACTTTGTTATAAGAATACAGTATATAATATATATAAAATACAAAATGTGTATTAATTGCCTATGTTACAGGTAAGGCTTGCAGTTAACAGTAGGCTATTAGCAATTGAGTTTTTGAGGAATCAAAAGTTATACATGGATTTTCAACTGCTCAGGGAGTCAGTGCCCTGTGCTGTTTAAGGGTCAACTGTACATGATGCAATACTAATATGTTATTAAAAGAAGAGTGTAAGTGAATACTCGTTGGTAAAAAGATGGTGACAACATATTGTCAGTGAACAAAAAATCAGGTTACTGGGCCGGGAGTGATGGCTCACACCTGTAATCCCAGCACGTTGGGAGACTGAGGTAGGTAGATCACTTGAGGTCAGGTGTTCGAGACCAGCCTGGCCAACATGGCGAAAGCCTCTCTATTAAAAATACAAAAAATTGAGCCAGGTGTGATGGCGTGTATCTGTAATCCCAGGTACTCAGGACGCTGAGGCACAAGTATCGCTTAAACCCAGGAGGTAAAAGTTGCAGTGAGCCAAGATTGCACCACTGCACTCCAGCGTGGGTGACAAGAGTGAGACCCTGTTTAAATAAAAAAAAAAAAAAAAAAGAAAGAAAAAGAAAAAAATAACAAATAGGTTACTATGTGCCTGTTTTTTAAAAAAAATACATACACACATATATGCAAATGGAAAAAAAGCATAGAAAGAACACAAAACAAGTTTAATAGGTATCTAATGGCTGAACATGAGCATTATTGATAGTTCTCTCTTGTTGATGGGAGTATGGATGTTTCAAATATCTTCTATTTGCTCATTTGTATTTTCTAAATTCTGTAATATTTACTGCCTTTAAAGTAAAAACAACACTGTCTTAAAATAGCAAAACAAAACAAAATAATCCTTTTCTCATCTGTGCATGTGGCCAAAATCACATTGCAATCCACTCTGCATACATTGGTCTCACCCGCCAGTGTCAGCTCTGTAAGGGCAGAAACTCTGTCATATGCACCGTCAGCCCTCAGAACTGCATCCTGGTACATTGCAAGTACTTATGTTGTAGGTACAGATGAGCAAACTACGGTCAAACAAAAAAAGACAATGCAAACTGCCCAGCTCCACATACATTTCAAAACCAGGAACATCTTAAATGTAAATTTAAATATTTAAATATTTACATGGCTCAGAGAAAATACTTTAGAAGTTACTTCTATGCTTCTTTTTTTTTTTTGAGATGGAGTTTCACTCTTGTTACCCAGGCTGGAGTGCAGTGGCGCGATCTCAGCTCACCGCAACCTCCGCCTCCTGGGTTCACTGCCTCAGCCTCCTGAGTAGCTGGGATTAAAGGCATGCGCCACCATGCCCAGCTAATTTTTTGTATTTTTAGTAGAGACGGGGTTTCACCATGTTGACCAGGATGGTCTCGATCTTTTGACCTCGTGATCCACCTGCCTCGGCCTCCCAAAGTGCTGGGATTACAGGCTTCAGCCACCGCGCCCGGCCACTTCTATGCTTCTAATACCACATCTATTAATGTAATTTTTGAACCTTATAAACCAATTCATTGAAATCCTGATATCTTTCAGAATCAAGTACTAATTACCATCCTTTCCTTTGGAAAACTATAAAAGATGGTGGTATTCACTTTTTATTTGCCTGAAATCTCATATTCACTTAGAGGGAGGATAAGACTGCTTCCCCCTGGAAATGCTGAGAATAGCAGGGGCATAAGAGTTGAGTCCCTGTGAAAGACCAATATGGTATTAAGAGTAAGTGATTGATCACGATAGACATACAAAGGATCAAGTTCTGAAACTGACTTTCTACAAGTTGTCTTGATGGCAACTATCAAGAATAGTTTGAGCCACTTTCCCCAAAGTGATAAAGGAGTATCTTTCTTGCACAACTTATATTGCCATGATACAATAATCACAATAAAATTAAGAAACAGAAAGAATGCCTACAATGGTATGTTGTTGTCTGGATAATATCTAAATTTCTTTCAAATTTAAAGCTTTAACAAAATCTTTAAAAAATCTGCTTTATTTTTATATAAATAAACAATAACTTCATTTGGAATTTTTAAATTCTTGGGAACTCTGAAGCTATATCCAGTTTATATTTTATACCAACAGATTATTTTATTATTTGATGCCTTAGAAAATAAAAATTTAAAGCAATGATTCTCAAAACAGGGAAAGGTGAGCTTTCTCAGACCAGACAGTTTTTTCAAACCACAACACTAAATAATTGATTGTTCTGCTGGGCATCACATTAAAAAAATAAGAAAAAGTCATATAATCCTGTAATTATTGACTATGACATGGGTTCTGAAGGAAAAGCACAGGGTGCTGTGACTGCATATAGAACAGGGAACCTCATCTGCTGAGAGAGAAGTAGTCAAGTAAGTTTCCAAGGCAGCGTTCAGCTGAGTTCTGAAGGGGGCGGGCTGGGGCAGGACAGAGTATGTTCCAGGCAGACGTAATAACAGGTACAAAGTATTGAGGCAGAAGGAAAGAGGTGAAGAAGGCCAACAGCTGCAGCTTTTTAATCTGAGGGGAAAGAGATTTCTGATTAACAGTTCACGCATTTCAGCCTATAAGAGAAGTCACCATACCTTCAACAGTGTATGGATATCATTTTTACTGGAGTGTCCATCTACTTGAGTGACCCTGTATTCTAACCATTGCTGAACGATTGCTTTTTCTTCTGCAGTACTCCCCAGCAAATATTCTTTGTTGGCTTGCTTCACTAGATGAGCTGCTATAGTAGTCAATCCCGTTAGACTTGGACCATTGTTTGTCTGAAGAACTGGACTCTTAAAAAGAAAAAAAAAAGTTCAGATAATTGGTAATAACATTGCAAAAATCAGAATAATGTTACTATAATAATTTTTAACTGTGTATGTACAGTAAGAGAAAATGGAAATCCTAATTATACTGTATTAATTTCAATCAAGTTTACCTGCACCCTATTATATAGAAGATGAACATACTTAAATAAACCTGACTTCATGTTTCCCCTATTACAATGGCAATACAAAGGATCAAACTGGCTTGCTTACAAGAAATTGCCAATTAATTTAAATTTTCTTACACAAATAAACACAATGCTTTATGAGAAATTTAAAAGAAAATGGAAAGTATTACCTAATGAGAAGACTGACCCAACACAAATAATAAGTATAGAATCTCAATGACTTAAACAAATGAAAAAAGAATTATTTTATTGTGAAGACTGCTCTTTTCAGCAATGAAATAGTATCTTGTTCTCTATAATGATTTCTAAGGCATTTTCAAACATCTACATCAACAGGACTTGGTGAAGTATACAAAGAGATTAATACTCTATAGGATACAGATTCAAAGTAAGGAGGTAAAAGTACTTTCCATTTCCCATTCACTATTAGCAGCTCCTTGACTTCTCACTTTTGCCTTCAATTCAAATGAAACCCCAATTTCTAAGATCACCAATAACTTAAATGTATTGAAAGAAAACAACATGGGTGCCAGTAATATTCTATTCCTTGACTGGGTGGTTACCTGAGTGTGTTAACTTTGTGGTAACATCAAGATGTGTGTACTTTTCTGAATGCATGGTATATTTTGGGGAAAAAAAGAGAAATCAAATGACTCAGAATTGCTGGGTGGGAAGGGAAACAACTAACTCCAAAGAGAATTATGTGTAAAAATAAATTATCCACAACCAAAGCATGCTTTAAAAAAGTTCCCAGTTATCTTCTCATCTAATCATTACATCTTCTAAGATAAAGTAAGTCATCTCATCCTCATTTTACAGATGAAAAAAACCAGTCACCTGGTTTGCAATGGGAGAGCCAGGGTTTGAATAAAGTCCTATTGGCTCAAATGTCCATTTTCTTTCCTTTCCATAACCTAAACTATGCAATTCTTATGCAGTTGCAATTACGAGACACATACTATTTTCACATTCATTTTAGGTTCCATCGTATTCAAAGTAATTACTTTTAATGGCTGCATATGCAATAGTCGTGCACTACATAATGTCATTCTGGTCAACGATGTTCTGGATGGCATAACCAACGGTGGTCACCTAAGGTTATAATCAAGTATTTCTACTGCACCTTTTCTATGTTTCAATATATTGAGATGCACAAATACTTACCATTGTGTTACAATTGACTACAGTATTCAGTACAGTAACGTGGTACAGGTTTGTAGCCTGAAGGAGCAATAGGCTATATCATATACCTACTATTTATGAAGTAGGATATACTATCTAGGTTTAAGAACACTCTGTGATGTTCACGTACAACAATGAAATTGCCTAACAATGCATTTCTTGAAACGTATCCCTGTCATTAAATAACACATGACTGTATGTCAATGTGTTGATGTACCAAAATTTAAAGAATTATTATCCTAGATGTGGATCTCTGAACTGCTCTCAATTTTTAACCATTATTGGTAATGTTGCAGAATGCCTTATTGCTGGCTTACTGCTGTCAGTTGTCTTCCTAAAAAAATGGCTGAATCTTATCACATATGACCAACCCTTTCCCCATACAAATAAACAGAAACTTTCATTAGGTGCTTACTGCTAAAATGCTTTAATTAAAATAAAATTAAAAACCACACTCTGAACTCCAAAGCCCTCACCGTTGTGCCTCAAACTGTAACTTGGGGTTTCCCTTGCATTGCATCATTCCCATATTGGTTTACTTACTGCCCTACACTTCCCAATCCTTCATAATTTATTGGTTTTACACCTCTTTCAAAGCCTAATCCTTTAAATGCTACTCCTCCATGAGTTTATAAATCCATGTTTATAGACAAAATTAACTTCCTTTTTCACACTCCTCAATAGTGTTTTCCTCCATGTGGAGTTCTATCTAATTAGGGGAAAGAAGTCAGGCTGGGGGACCAGGGGACAGCAAAAAGAGAAGGCCGATAAACTACAAGTCTGCCTTTCTTCATGGTCCAAGATACACAGCCCTTCTGCACAAATAACTCAACAATCTTTCCGTGTCCAGCTATCACCAGCCCTTTGGCTGATAGAAAACTCAAGTTAGCTCACTGCAACCTTGATGTTATCAGTACTGCACAAACCCCTCTTTGGCATACAGCCTGAGTATTCCACAAAATCCCCATCCAGCCTTCGTTTCCTTGCAGTTAGCTTCTCTCTTACTAACTTGCCCATTGCACTCTTGTAACAGATTTTCATACGTTCTCTAATAAACCTGCTTCTCTTTACCTACAGCTGTCCTGGCAAATTCTTACCCTGTTGTCACCGGCCCCCGAGAGTGGCTGCTCGCATGCGAAAGTCCTTAAAGTACTTAGTATGTTGTGCTTCAAATTATTTTTGCTGACGATTGTTTCTCATACTAGATAATACTCATGTCTTGGCAATGGTTCCTAAAAAATATAAACTAAACTAGGGAGTAGGGGCTGAAGGGATGGAAATCAGGAATCATCACTGGGGCGGAGGAAAAATCAAAAGAAGGCCACTCTGGCTCCAATGCCTACTCTGCCACCAATCACAGGGCTGATTTTAGGCTGAACAGTTAACCTTTCTAGGCTTCAGGTTAACTTAAATAAAAACTATACTACTACTACTTTCGAGACAAGATCTTCACATGGACCAAATGAAGAAGAAAAAAATAGACAAAAATCAAACATCATGTAGAAAAAATCTCAAAGGAGCGAAAAAAAATATATATCCAAAATAGTCTTCCTACAACCAATTTCCTTCTCTAATACATTCCTTCTACGACAAACTATAAAATGCAAATGTTCTAACAGTGCCTCACCAGGCAATCTTACACCTTGCGATGTTTCCCTTATTCTCTGTGAGTCGCACACTTAAACTGATACCCCAAGGTTTCAGAAACGCTTTTCCAGAACGCCCCCGATTGGGCTAAGACTCCTTATGTATTCTCTCTGCCATTTATGGTGCAACGTGGCACTCTTCCAATTTAAAAGTTTGCAATGTTTGTCCACCCGGTTAAAAAGCCAAGCTTCCAGAGAGAAGTAAGCGTGTTCCCCTTAATCACCACTGTATTCCCAAGGCCCAGCACAGGGCTACCCGGCACCCTGTTAGTTATCACGGAGTCGCTGCGTAATAACTGAATTAAAGATGCGATTATGGTAAAAAACAACGAAACAAAACAAAAAACAGTTACTGAATACAAACGCGGGGCTTCCAGGTTGGTCTAAGAGCTCTGTGAGGACTCTCCTGCGACTGGTTTCGTTTCCCCATAATGGGATGATGACAAGGTCCCAGGAGGCGAAGTTCAGGCCGAGCCCGACGTGAGCTGGTTACTCCCTCTCTCCAGGAGGTAGGGAGGCAAGGGCAGAGGCCCAGAGGCGCCAGCCAGCTCGCGGCGCAGACACGTGGGGAGCTGGGTAGCCGCATCCTCATTCCGCCTGTATCGAGTGGCCGGCCCCAGCCCTGCCAGGGCTCAGCAAGCCCCGCTCCCGTCTACCTCTTCCCTTCTGCGCCGCCTCTTCTTCTCACCTGTCGCTCGCCTTGAGCACTGTATTTATTCCCCTTACTCAGTCCCAGGGACTTCTCCAGTAGCGACAACTCTGCGGCCGCCGCCATCTTCCGGCCGTAGTTCTTGGCAGAGGAGGGATCCACAGAACAAGAACCTCTTGCATTGGTGGAGACGGAAGTCCCCTCCTGCAAACATCACCGGCGATTGGCTGAACGAAAGGGGCGTGGAGAGCGCGCGCCAATGCGCAGGAGGCGGAGCCAGTGGAAGGGGCAGGGCTGACAGGTGGAGAAGAGATGGCAAATTTCCACTCGACTGTTGGGGAGTTACTTGATAGAGCGGCCCAAGGCCGGGCTTCGGTGGCTGCAGTAGACTGGATCTCTAAATGGCAATCTCTAAATGGCAATCTATTGACATGGCTGCCAACGTTAACTAGTTAACTCATTTGCCAACCTAAGAGAATTTAATATGATGGGAACTGAAATTTACCTTAGTTTAGCTCAGGAATCTGTAAGTTGAAACAATCAAATTGAATAGCAAAGAGTTCACAATCCATTAGGAGTTTCTAACCTGTAGCGTAATTCATGAGGATTTTAATTATGTTGTAATGGTGAATTCTTAAAACTAGTTTTTCTGCTGTTAATCTACAGCTCAACACTGGCGTTAGAATTATACATTTAAAGATTATTCACAGAGCACGGAGTATGTTAGTGGTCAAATAATTATGGCTCAAGGAAATCAGCCGTTAATGGAATTAATAATCTTTATTTGCATTTCCAGAAAGCTAGTTACACAATTTATAAAGTATTGTTATATAAATAAACAAGGTACATAGCTTTACCCTACTCACTTGCTACGTTCTTGTTGTATCTTCAAAAAACAAAAAAGAAAATTAGCATATGATGAATATTTCCAAAAGAGTTGTGAAAATAAAAAATATTTTCCACACTGAAGAATGAATAAACAAAGTGTGTATTAGTCTGAGAGAAATAGAAAAATCCTACAAGGTTGTTCATCATTGAATCAGAAATATCAAAGTTTAGTGGGGAATGTTGTTACTGTGTTACACCTTCCATATCCCAGAATACTTAAATGAGTTTACTCTGGCAGCAGAAGTAAATATAAGGAAAAGAAACTTTTGCCAAATCAACATAACAAAATACAAAAGAAATTTCAGCATAAGTAGATTGCTGTGCACTAATTATCTGTTTTACTTTCCATATTCAGATAATTGAAGGACTGTTTTACTACTTTTTAAAAGACCAGTCCTCTAGGAGAATTCACGTATCTATTTTCAGTACTTAGATACACTGTTTGCTTGTAATAAAACATTTTTTTTAATTCACACTTATCCACTTCCAATGGGTGGTATATTTAAAATAAGGTTTGGCTTAAATGATAGGACTAAGATTTGAGTTCCAATATAAAATATCTGAAAGGATATTCACCCAAATGATAAAAGTGACAACTTTCAGGGAGTAAGATTGGATAAATGGAATATCACTTTTTAACATGCATTTTGATTTGAATTATTGCTGATAGATTGTGATTAAAAATAATGTTTGTTTTAATGTAGCTCTTAGCTTCTTTCTTCCCTTTCAGTCCAGAAGATTTCTTTGCTTTTTTTTTTTTTTTTTTTTTTTGAGGTGGAGTCTCACTCAGTCACCCAGGCTGGATTACAGGCACACACCACCATGCCCAGCTAATTTTTTTGTATTTTAGTAGAGATGGGGTTTCACCGTGTTGGCCAGGCTGATCTCAAATTCCTGATCTCAAGTGATCTGCCTGTCTCATCCTTCCAAAGTACTGTGATTACAGGCATGAGCCACTGTGCCTGGCCAAGTGCTGAAGATTTTTAAACCTGAATTTCCTTTTCTTCCTTCCTTTCATCCCTGAATGCTGCTTTTGTTGTGGATGTATAATTAAAAGATTTCAAAAACATTTGAGGCTTTGACAGTGCCCCCAAAAAGGGAATTAAATACATCTTCAGTAAATGCAGATTTATTTTGGAAGCTTCAACATGATCTAGCTTGGATGACTTTGTGCCATTATCCATCTCCTCTAGGAACTCAGAAAGAAACTAATACTTGCTAGACACTATTATGTGTAGGTGCACATGAAACGTCACTCAGTCTTCAAAATAATAATAGGAAATGTGTGGCCCCACGTATCATTCAGGGCTTTTGGATGCAAATGACATTACCTACTCTGATTAATTTAAGCAGAGAAAGAATATATTGAAAGATATTATAGAAATGTTCACAGGAATGTTGGGAAGTCTGGAGAAACAGTCTCAAAGCTAGTTCCATAAACATATCCGAAACCATGCTGCAGATCGGAAACCTACAGGAAACCTGTACCACTGATGTCGCTGCCACAAAGCATAAACAAAAGAAATTCCTGGAATTTTCTGCAATCACAGCTGCTGCAAGCACCAGTGCGACTTCTTCATCAAGAGCATGATTTTCCAACTGCTGGAAACTCCTCCTCTCCAACACTGCATCTGGAAGCTGGAATACCCTGCCATCATGTATTCCAGCAAAAATGGCAGTTCCATACAAAGCCTGTTTCCTCACGTTGCTCACCTCTATACCAAACTTCCTTATGGTAGAGTCACTTGCTTGTGTCCTAGTTGTAAGGAAAGCCAAGAAATTGAACTTTGACAAAAAGAACAAATCTGGAGGTATCACTCCTTACCTGATTTCAAACTGTACTATAAGGCCATAGTCACCAAAACAGCATGGTACTGGCATAAAAATAGGCATATAGACCAATGGAACAGAATAGGGAACCCAGAAATAAACCCAAATACTTACAGCCAACTGATCTTTGACCAAGCAAACAAAAGCATAAAGTGGGGAAATGATACTCTTTTCAACAAAAGGTGCTGGAATCATTGGCTAGCCACATGTAGGAGAATGAAACTGGATCCTCATCTCTCACCTTATACAAAAATTAACTCAAGATGGATTAAGGACTTAAATCTAAGACTTGAAATGATAAAAATTCTAGAAGATAACATTGAAAAACCCCTTCTAGACATTGGCTTAGGCAAGGATTTCATGACCAAGGACCCAAAAGCAAATGCAATGAAAACAAAGATAAATAGTTGGGACTTAATCGAACTAAACAGCTTTTGCATGGCAAAAGGAGCAGTCAGCAGAGTAAATGGACAACCCACAGAGTGGGAGAAAATCTTCACACCTTATACATCTGACAAAGGACTAATATCCAGAATCCACAACGAACTGAAACACATCAGCAAGAAAAAAACAAACAATCCAACCAAAAAGTGGGCTAAGGACATGAATAGACAATTCTCAAAAGAAGATTGGCCAACAAACATTTGGCAATTCTCAAATGGCCAACAAACATCTGAAAAAATGCTCAACATCACTAATGATCAGGAAATGCAAATCAAAACCACAATGCGATACCACCTTACTCCTGCAAGAATGGCCATTATAAAAACAAGTCAAAAAATAATAGATGTTGGTATTGATGGGGTGAACAGGAAACACTTCTACAGTGCTGGTGGGAAAGTAAACTACTATAACGGCTCTGGAAAACAGTGTGGAGATTTCTTAAAGAACTAAAAGTAGAACTACCATTTGATCCAACCATCCCACTACTGGGTATCTACCCAGAGGAAAAGAAGGTATTATACAAAAAAAAAGATACTTGCACACACATGTTTATAGCAGCACAATTTGGAATTGCACAAACTGAGAACAACCCAAATGTCCATCAATCAATGAGTGGATAAAGAAACTATGATGGCGGGCCAGGTGGCTGAAGCCTGTAATCCCAGCACTTTGGGAGGCTGAGATATATACTAAGTATATATATGTATCTTTTCTTTTTCCTTCCCTATATATGGGGTATATAGGGAAGATATAAGGCATAAGAATGATACATTGGACTTTAGGGACTCAGGAGAAAAGGGTGGAAAGGGTACCAGGAATAAAAGTCTACAAATAGGGTACAATGTACACTGCTCAGGTGATGGATGCAGCAAAATCTCACAAATCACCAGCAAAGAACTCACTCATGTAACCAAACACCACCTGTTCCACAATAACCACGGAAATAAAAAAATTTAAAAAAAATTGAGCTTTGAGTTCTACATTAGAGAGGCATTGATTATGTATTTATCTCCAGTATTGTCAGTAAATGATTGACATAGAGGAGGGACACATTATGCAATGGTTGTGTGCTCTGCATTGTAGAAACTGTATCATTAACAACGATGGGGAGATAAGAGGAAGAGTATGTGAAAACTTAAACAAGTTTGCGATTGCCCTACTGGTATTAATTAGAATAAAGAAGCTATTATTTTAAATCAGTTGCTGAAGGAGCAACAGGGAAGAAAAAAGAAACGGCTATTAGCTAATTCCAATATTGTTCATAACAAGTAACTTAGGCAGTATTCAAAAAGAAGGGCGGATTAAGACTGTTATATAAAGGTATTCATTTAAAGATAATCTTAGAACAAAAATACAGACTTTTTTAAATACCAAAAGAAAAAACATGGGAAATAAAATAGCACGTAAGTGGAAGACTGAGTATATACGATTTATGCAGCATAAATCAATATGACAGGACTGAGGCAAAGCATATGGATTATATTTAAAATATATAAATGAATTTAACTCACTTATAAGAATAAAAAGGATTTTTGAATTGGCCAACAAAGCAAAATTCATACTATGTTTGTTTTAAGAGCAAATCAAAACATGAGTAAATTATTCTATAGCTTGGTAACAGGGGACTTTCTTAATTATTACTTCAAATCCAAAAGCAATATGGGAGATGACTGATACACTTGACTATATAATAATAAAGAAATTTTAGTCAGTGCACTTGGATAAGCGAAAATGATTAGAAACATGAATTGAAACAAGAGATAATTATATTATCTGCAGAGATAATTGTAGTATTTCTCTTTGCAGATAATACAATTTTTTATCTTGAAAAACTCAAGAAAATCAATGGAAAAATTACAGAAAATAAAAGAATTTAGCAAAGCAGCAAATTATAATATCAACATTCAAAAATCAATAGTTGAGAGTTATAATTGGCTGGGCATAATGGCTCATGCTTGTAATCCTAGCACTTTGGGAGACAGAATCATTTGAACTCAGGAGTTCAAGAGCAGCCTGGACAACATGGCCAAACCCCATCTCTACAAAAC